CGTAGTGCGTTTTGCTTGGAACCTACTAGATACCGCCTCGTATATATGGGCTTGCTCCGACTTGGTCCATGCGCGCGTTCATGCTGGATGCTGCTTCGTTGCACGTTGTGGATATGGAGAGCCGATTCAATCCCCCATCATCGGGGCTTCCTCTAAGTGAGCGATTAACCGAAGTGGTTGAACTCCTTCTGATTTTAGGCCTTCTAAAAATCTATAAACCAATTGTTCCTGTGAGAGAGATAGTAGACGGAATACGTTCCCCACCGCATGAACGGACCAGTTTCTTGGCCGGTATTATAAAGCCCCTCAACGGGAAATCTAGTGCTTACATAAAAAATTCTCATGACTCCGCCAACGAACCAGCGGGTGTCACTGTTTAACCAGATTACAACCTTGAATCTTTCGACGAGAATTCTATGTTCAAATGTGCCAAAATGGGGACTCTTTCGAAATAGACAAGTGACAGTTATTAGCGAACATTATCCTATCAAAACGGACTCAGCTTACGGCAGATGAAATTGTGGAAGGTATAAAAGCATGTCTGAATCTCACCAAATTCGTTTTTTGACAGAGTGGTTTGTACTCAAGTGCAGGGTTTAGCAGTAAAAACACAACTACTCCCGGTTTTGCGAAGTATATTTACGGAATAGTTTGAACAGAGTGCTTGAGCCAGATTTCCATATCCACCGAAGATATTATGGCCGTATGTAGATGACAATTTCTTAATGATGAAGCGGGAAAATATTGGTGAGTTTTACAATTATCTGAAAGATCTGCGACCAAATTTCAAATTTAGTATCGAGACAGAGACATTTTCGGTTGCACTGGCCAGTTTTTAGTGAGAATAATAAGCGTGTATTTGGAATAATCATATAGAAATCGATCTCGGTCAAATACGGTCGTCCGCTCGTCTATCATTTGCACGGGGTTATATGAGAATCGTATTGAAAATTTTACACATAATGAGTGCGTCTGTACCCATACTTAAATTTTCGTGGGGAATATTTTATCACAACTGAGTTTCGCCTTAATGTGACTATTTATCTAGTACACCAGCGAACGACAGTTTTGGACGTATTTTCAGAGTCAAGGGTTGCCAAGTTTGCACAGCTCCGGTGAGCAGGTCGTTGTTCCGACATTTGACTGAATGTGGAACTGCGGTCCACACAAGGCTTCCAGAGTAGAAACATATTTCCTGTTTTTGGGGTAATGCCTCCAAATGTTGTTGTGGTAACTGATATTCACCAAGTATGGATTACCCTACACACTCTGGTTGCCTTCTTTGCCCTCCATGCCTCATTCTGCTTGTTATCCTAAATTCATGCGTTATTTGTGTTATCATTCGGGCGGACGTTTTCCACGCGTATGAACTCGTGCGTAAAAACGAAGTTGCAGCGGGGAATATAATTACCTTCGCTTGAGACGATATTTCAAACGATCCCAATTAAATATCAGTTCAGTTACAAATTCCCCCATATGATAGCAATCAGAGATTGGGAAAGGGACTTTGTTGTTTGTATTCACACGCCTCATTGTTGTTCCGTATTTCTCATGCATATCATTGATAAATTTGAGTTACAGGGCATTATGGTGTTACATGTGTCACTTAATATGCCCTAGCAGATTTTCTGTTGTTTGATGCCCTTCTATGGCTGTGGACGCCATATAACCTTGATGCGAGCAGCGCATTCTGATGATGATAATGATGATGATGACGATGATGATACTGATATGTACTCCTGTGAGTCCTCGTCTCCGTAGTCTGAAAGTTCGTTTGAATGTATTAGGAGGCTGATGATTTGGATCAAATCGTAAGCAGACAATCTAGTAAGCTAAACATTTTGTAATGTATCCGAAGAGGATAAAAGACCTTCTAAAAGCATTACCGTGGAAAAGTAACTCCGTGGCCCCGTCCGCAGCAGTCAAGCCAATTCCTGCATCAGTTCACCGTGTAAGACAATGTGGAAGCAAATTGACACTGCGGATCAAAACACAATACAAACAGCAGGGCANGATTCAGTTGAGTGCTGATGAATGATATTCGCCTCAAGATAGCGGCTGTTTCTCACGTATGTTGCAGTCCTTAGCTACTGAGGTACACGAGGGCTATTTGGTTGTGCTTCCAAGTAGTCCATGTTCAACTCAACTACCAGCCCTCTTCCAAGTAATGTTCAACTCAACTACCAGCCCTAATTTTGAGGAGTAAATCCATATCCCATGCTAGGCAAAAAGACCAACAATCGATGTATGTATTTTTCAGCATTCAGCAATCACCGTAAATAAAATATCAGTGAAGATGGTGGCGTATCTTGGATTTAAATTATTTCTTAGGTTGAAAGTGAATGGCTACTGGGAATAGAGTGAGTGTCGGGAACGCCGTTGTCAA